CACACACATATATACATACACACACAAAATTACATTTTAAAATGGCTTTATAACAAATGGAATACATGTAGAATGATCTAGGAAGAGAGGCTTCCCAGCCATTGTCCCCACTTTGGGGAACATCTTGCACCAAGAGTTGAGAAAATCCCCCAATCTCTTGACCTTATGTAAATGGGTCAAATGTCGGCTCTACAGTCTCTTGTCTGGGGGCCACAGAGCATCTCGCAACCATGCAGCTGACTAGTTCTTTGAAATCCCCGCCCACATGTAATAATTTGATGTTAAATGGCCTCCCCTTTTGATTGTTTGTCATTATTCTAGAATTTTGAAATTTCAACTCCAATTTTTAATTTGTAATAGAGTAGGGTAGAATAGAATAGAATAGAATAGAATAGAATAGAATAGAATAGAATAGAATAGAATAGAATAGAATACTTTATTGGCCAAGTGTGATTGGACACACAAGGAATTTGTCTTGGTGCAAATGTTCTCAGTATACATAAAAGAAAAGATACATTTGTTAAGAATCAAGAATCATAATGTACAACACTTAACATTACTTTTCTCCTTCACAGGGCAGGGAAATTGAATATATAGATATAGAGAAACCATCTAATAGGGGCCTTGGATTTAGTGTGATTGCTCTTAAAAATCAAAGCTTTGGGGAAGTTGGTATCTTTGTGAAAGAAGTACAGCCAGGAAGCATAGCAGCCAGGTAAGAAATTTAGCAAGACTTCTTGAAATACTCTGAGATGTCCTATTAACATTTTATAGATTTTATAGTTTTCCTGGCCAGATGATAAGCGGATCAGATTTGAAGAATGCACCACATGTCAGTTTTGTAATGATAAATAGGATAATGGTGGTATAGATAATAATTTTAATACAGGAAGTCCTCGACTTACGACCACAATTGAACCCAAAATTTCCAGTGCTGAGCAAGAAATGGTTAAGTGCCCAATTTTACAACCTTTCTTGACACAGCTATTAAGTAAATCATTGCAGTTGTTAAGTTGATAACCCAGTTGTTAAATGAATCTGGCTTCCCCCATTGACTTTGTCAGTCAGAAGATCGCAAAAGGTGATCACGTGACCCCAGGACACTATAACTATCATAAATGTGAGTCAGTTGCTAAATATCTGAATTTTGGTCACATGACCATAGGGAGATTGCAATGGTTCTGAATGTGAAAATGGTCATAAGTCATTTTTTTCAATGCCGTTACTTTGGTCACTAAACAAATGGTTTAAGTCAAGGACAACCTGTAGTTCTGTGGTGATGAATACACCGTATTGTTCTCTATTGAAGAGGCTCAAGCAACTTAGTTATTTCTTGACAACTTCTGGGAGTTATTTTGTCATGTTTCTGAAGTTCTGGTTTCCTTCTGGAAGGGTGAGACATGTCTTTCTTCTTTTGCCCTGTGTTGTTCAATAGTCCCAATTATGCTTCTTGGTTTTTAATTAAACATGGTATGATAAAGAAGTAAAAGAAATCTTGGGGGAAAAGCTAGAATGAATCTGACTTGATGGACAAGAGGCCATTTGAAAGCATAATCATTGTTGGTGATATATAAATTATAGTCTTCTTAAATAAAACTGAGTTATTTGGTTAATGAATTTAATTTCTGAAAGAAAAACATGTCATCATTAAACATAATTCACTTCTTAGATAAACTTGGTCATAAATGTAGATAATCTGAATGTTATAGTTGATACACATCCAACTGGTGCAGCACAATTTAGAGTTGTTTATTTGACATACTTATGAAACCATTGGCAGAGAGTGAATTACATCATATTTTAGTTGTTATTAAAGACCAGACTAAACTAACCAAATTACAACATTGTTTGATCCAGGCTTTGTCTGGATTTGGGAATTTGGTGGCACTTTACCTTGATCAAACCCAACATTGTAACTTGCTTCATATATAGATATAATACTGTAGAACAGGGGTGTCAAACTTGATTTCATTGAGGGCCACATCAGGGATGTGTTTGACCTTGGAGGGCCAGGGGGCATGGCCTGGATGGCCTCCTGAAGCCCTCTGCCAGTGAAAATGGAGCCAAGGGGCACGCAGCTGCCCTGGGTCAAATTTTCAGCCTGGGCGAGAGCTCAGTTTTTGCTGGCAGAGGCACCGCAGGTTGGTCCTTCACTATTTCCAGGGCTGCCTCGAAGGCTAGATCTAAGCACACCCTGTGGGCCAGATCCGGCCTGCGGGCCTTAAGTTTGACACCCCTGCTGTAGAATAATGCTCTTTGACTGGTTGGTTGAATGCCTTTTTTTTTTTTTGAAAATTTTATTTGGGTTTTCACAAAAACGAAATACAAACAAAACATCTTTTTTGAAAATAGCATGGTCCCAGGTTATCACTTCTTCATACAGACACAAAACTCAATTTCATGCTCATTTTTATATTCTATTCCATATCTTATTACCATTTTATATTTTCTACATAATTTTTCCCCTCTAAATTTTCTCAACTTTGTTTTAATTATCTCAGTTCAAATCATTATATTTATACTTTTGTCTGTCCTGTTACAATTTCACATTATCTTTTCTTATTAAGCAAATTTTTCCCTGTAGTTACCAATTAGAGTATGACACCTTTATATCCTTTAATTTTATCCATTCAAGCTCTTATTTAAGCTTCGATGTATAGCTTTAAGATTATAGCATTCAATATAATACATAGCTTCCAATCGAGTTCTTCTTGGTACATTCTTAAAATAGACACTATATTCTTAAGAAGAAAAAATTATATATATATGTAAATAAAACACATTCCATTCCAATTCAATTCTATCATTAATATGCATTGAAATCTTAACATCTTTAACATTTCTTTTCAATTGAATATCAAACTTCCTTGGGAACACTTATAAACTTTCCATAGTTAATTCTTTTTTTCCCATATTTCTCACTTACATTTTTATAAATCATTACTAATAATTAAAAATGTTCCCTTTTAATTCTCTCAATCATTTTAATTCATTTATTTATTAACAAACATCCCACTGCATTACAATAAATATTTTATCCATCATCATATTTTCTAAAGATATTTCTATTTGTAATATAACAAAGCTATCTTATGTACCTTTGCAGAATCCCTTTTACAATTAAATTTTCACCCATTATCTCTAAACAAACTTATGGTTACAATCCTTATATCTTTTCCCTGTTTCTCCATTTCTTGTTTCTGTCTTTTACAACTTCTTTTCTTAGCCTTCTTCCCCCTCTTCTTCTCCCTCCCCTTTTTACCCCCTCGTCTTTCTACTTCTAACTCTATCATCTGTAATCCCCTCTTCTGTTGCTTTCTAATATTATACTTATCTTTCAAATTGTTCTTCTTTTTGGTTGTTTTTTCTAATCTTAAACCTTTCACTCTCTTTCCCCCCTTTTCTCCCCCCCCTTAAAATTATTTGATCATTAAAGATGGCTTCTTCTTTGTCCCAATCTTCTTGTTCTGCAAGCGTTTCTTGTTGCTTCTCGTAGTTCCAGATCTCCATTTCTAAGAACTGAAACATGGAGCCCAAGGAACTTCTCCCTTCTTGTGCATCTTCTTTTCATTTTTTAAGTTCCGTTTTCAGTTCTTCTAAGAGTGATACCATTTTAAAAACCTTTAAACAACCACCCAGTTAATTTTAGTCATCTAGATGCAAAAACCAAAAATCACCAAGTAATCCAAATAATCCAAGGCTGTTTCTACTTGCTTCTTTTTTCCACTTTCTCTTCCTGGGTTTCTATTATTTTGTTACCAAGTTTCCATTAAAATGTATCTTTGAGGAATCTTGTTAAAATTTCACTGTAAGTTCCTTTTAATTACAGTTCCATTCCTTAATTCCAGGCAGTCTCCTCCATTTTTACAGATCCTGCCCTTCTATTCTTTTTTTTCTCTTTCCAGCTTTTAAAAACTTTTAAATGTCCAGAAATCTTTATTATCCCTTTGACTTTTATTTTCAGCTTAGATGCCTATTAATGTCAAAATGGATTTTTTTTTCAGTTTCTTGCTTAAGTCTCTTAGCTGTCAGTATAAGGAAGGAAAGAAAAAAAACCTAATCCTTTCCTTTCTCTCTCTCCTTCGCAGCTTCAAAATCTTCTTTGGGAACAATGTTGTTGAGTTTAAATTCCAGGGTACCTTATTTGTTGCTTTTGCTGTTTGACCCGGTCAACCAAAACTTTCTCTTCTTATCTTCCTCCTGAACATTCTTTTCCGGTTGAATTCTTCTTTGTGGTGGCCATTTCTGACCACCGCTACAACCGCCTTCAGGAAAGGGAGTAATGGCCAGCTGGGGAGGAGAGATGCGGCTCTCCTCAACCCTGCAGGCAGTCTCTCCCCTCTTCACCACCTCTATGGGGTGGCTTAGCCCCGAAACCAGCCGGCTCGGGGCGCTCCAGCGGCAAGCACGGATTGAAGCCTCGGAGAGACGAGGTTTCGGTCTGTCACCAAAGAAGCTCAAACCGGAAGTCCAGGTTATTTGAATGGCTTTGAACTAGTATGTTATGTGAACCCATCCATTGTACTCTGTACTTTATAAGTTAGCATGTGTTACAAAACCTGTCAACTGTACATACTCAAAAAATAAGTACGTAAATGGTGACTTAATGCAATTCAATGCAATGCAACATTTTTACACCTGCACCCAAGAATCTGCTTGCTAATGTTTAATACATATGTGAGTTGTGTTAATTGAATTATCCTGTAACCATTTGATGAAAGTTTTTTAACTGTCACCTATGCTTATCCAAGGGATCAAAGGTTAAAGGAAAATGATCAGATTTTGGCTGTAAATCATACACCATTGGACCTAAACATTTCTCATCAACAAGCAATCCTATTGCTCCAACAGTCCACAGGGTCTTTACATTTGGTTGTGGCCAGGGGGCCCACCCAGAGCAGCAGCAGGAAGTCTTCTGTTGTGAGTGATGATAATGTACCTGAAATGGTAAGATAATTTTTTTATAAGAATCAAAATGTGATTTAGCAAGAATATTCATCACATCTTTGCATCTTAGACATACAATAATTCAAAAGGGGAGACCTGCGTGGTGCACAACGTATCGCCACCAGAGCTAGGGTCAAGGCATCAGTCCATTTGAGATGTGTCTCCTGGCATATCTTTGCCAGCTTGTCCTTAATTGTTCGATTGATTCTTTCCACCCGGCCCCCCAAAGGGGGGTGGAAACTACAGTGTAATTTCCATGTAATACCTAAAACTTTTGCTAGCTGCTGTGTTGCCTTGTGAATAAACTCCGGACCATCGTCCGAAGAGATCCGGGAGGGTAACCCATACCTTGGTATTACAATATGAAGTAATGCTCGAGCAACCTCAGTGGCCTTCTTTGTGCGTGTAGGTACACATTCTGGCCAGCCCGTGTATGTGCAGACAATAACCAGCAGTGCATTGTAAGGGCCACAACGAGGCATGTCGGTAAAGTCAACCATCAAAGAGTCGAAGGGGTAACAGCCTCGGGGTTGGTGGCCCATTGGTGGCTGCGGGCCTTGCCTGGGGTTATTGGCTGCACATATTTCACAACGGGCACATACATTGGCTGCTATGCTGTTAACTCTATCTATATACACCTCCCTCCTAAGCGCCTTTGTGAGGGCAGTCTTACCTAGGTGCAATTGCTTATGTAGCTGATGTACAACATCCCAGGCCAAATGAGCGGGAATATACACCCTCTTATCTGGTAAGACCCACCACTGACCTTCTTGGTGCGCCTCGAGTGCCTTTTAGCCGGTCCCTATCCTCCTCCGAGTAATGGGGTTGGGGTTGAGCATCGGGCACCCATATGGCAAGGTGCCTTTCAAGGGGGGCAAAGTCTAGTAGGGCTGCTTCACGCGCAAATTTGTCAGCTCTCTCATTCCCCCTCTGTATATCTGTCACCACCTTCTGGTGGCCCCGGCAGTGCATGCCTGCTACTTTGCTTGGAGCCCACACACTGTCCAATAAACGCAATATCTGGGGGCCGTATTTTATTTCTTTTCCCGCTGCAGTTATTAGTCCCCTCTCTTTATACAGAGCCCCATGGACCTGGACTGTGAGGAAAGCATATTTGGAATCCGTGTATATATTTACTGCCAGCCCCTGTGCCAGCTCTAGAGCCCGGGTGAGGGCATGTAGTTCAGCTAATTGGGCACTAGTTCCGGGAGGGAGTGGCTTTGCTTCCCAGACCTCATCCAGCGTGACCACCACATATCCCGCTTTTCTCACTCCCTCTTGTAAGTAGCTGGTGCCATCAGTAAACAGAGTATAATCTGGGGAAGGAAGGGGAACATCCTTCATGTCAGGATGACTAGCATAAGTTTCTTCAATAGTCTGGACCCAATTGTGTTCTACTGCTTGTTTCAGGCTCAGGTAATAATGTGGTGTGTATATATGCAATTGTTGACCAAAGGTTAGCTTATTTGCTTCCTGAGTCAAGATTGCTGTGCCAGCCACTGCTTTAAGGCAGACTGGCCACCCCTTGGCTACATTATCTAGTTGCTTGGAGAGATATGCTACCGGCCGTGCCATGTCCCCATTTTATAGCCTTTATAGCCTAAATCTTGCAGTAGTGAAAGTAAATCAGCTGTATTTTGCCAACACGCGTCCTCTGCATATCCTGTTACTAATAAATCATCCACATATTGTAAGACCACATCTGGGGCTGGTATATGTAAAGCCTCCAGATCCCTGGCCAAAGCTGCACCGAAAAGTGTAGGTGAATTCTTAAATCCTTGAGGCAGCCTGGTCCAGGTATATTGCTGCTTCCTACCAGTATTAGGGTTTTCCCACTCAAAAGCAAATAAATGCTGGCTTTTCTTGTGTATGGGGATGGTAAAAAAAGCGTCCTTCAAGTCTATCACAGAAAACCACTGGGCCTCCCGAGGGATGAGTCCCAATATGACATAGGGATTGGGAACTACTGGATGGATTGTTATAGTGGCTAGGTTTACAGGCCTCAAATCCTGAACAGGGCGAAAACGACCATCCCCCTTTGGAATTGGTAATATGGGGGTATTCCAGGGCGACTCAGTAGGTACCAGGATATGATGTTCTAAATATAAGTCAATAATATCCTGGATAGCTTGCATGAAGTGGCGAGGGTATGCCCTCTGCCTGATTCTCACAGGCACTTTCAGAGGCACTTCCTCAATTAGAATGGGTGGATGGTGTGCTGCAAAACCAGGGGGGTTATCTTCCGCCCACAAATAGGGAACTTTAAACTGCCTCCAGACTTCCTTGTCAGTGCACCCAAAATCCCTCGCTACCATAAGCCTCCAGGATTCTTCCAAAGGTACAGACAAGGTTACTTTTCCGTACCCCAGGTTCATGGAACCATCCTCATTAAAGGATAATTGTGCCCTCATTTTACAGAGCAGGTCCCTTCCTAATAATGGGACAGGGCAGTCAGGCATGTAAACGAACTGGTGTGTTATAGCCTGCCCTTTTAAGGTGCATTCAAGGGGCTCCAGAAAGGGACGTTGTAAAGTTGTCCCTGTTGCTCCCTGAATATTAATAGTTTCACGGGATGCCTGCGCTAAGGGTTGGGTTAAAACTGATCGGGTAGCTCCGATATCCACTAAAAATGTAACTGGCTTGCCTCCCACATTCAGTCTGACCATAGGTTCAGGGAGGCTTACTGAACCCGGTCGGCCTCAGTCCCATTCCTCTGCTTGAGCCAAGCCCACCAGAGGGGGTCCGCCCAACCCCCGTCTGGTTTCTGTCTGTCCTCTACCCCTCTGGGTCAGCCTTCTCTGACCATCTTCCACCATGAAACTGAGGCTTCGTGGGGGTCCTTCCCTATTTCTGGGTAGTTCACGTTCGGGACACTCACCTTTCCAATGCCCATATTTCTTACATAAAGCACATTGGTTATGGCCGAGTTCCCATCTTCCCCCTTTCTCCCGACTATTGCCCCGGCCCCTCTGTGAGCCGGACCCCGCACCACGTGGATTTGACCGTCCTCGTGGTGCCCACATCATGGCTGCTGCCATTAATTCAGCCTTGCGTTGCATCTTCTGATTTTTTTTTTCCCTGTCCTCCTCTTTATCCCTATTTGCAAAGACTTTTCGAGCTACCTCCATTAATTGGATTAATTGCCAACTGATCCACTTGTCTCAGGGGGGCTGTCAGGGAAGCCTGTTCTGTTTTTGCCCGAGTTCTAGCTGCGACCGGTTCGGTCATAGCAGATGTTCCCGGCGCTGAAGTGGATGGGGTAGGGTCCACGGACCTTTCCTTTGGGGTGGATGTTGAAAGCTGTGATCTATCCACCTGGACCGATCGATCCATTGCCTCTGACCTTAGGGGACTTTTTTGATATGGAGATAGTCGATCTAATCGTGCCATAAAGTCTGCCACTCCTCCCGATTCCTCCCCCTCTGACCCTCCTTCGAAACCTCCCGGTGGTACATAAGGTGGGGGGTGAGGAACTTCCTCGGGACAACTAGGTAGCACTTGTACAGATTTCTGTAATTTGTTAAGGGTAACATGTCGTGATAACAAGGCTTTACACAGCTGCATTTTAAGTCGTCGTAGCCAAGGGGGTGGATGATTCAATAAATCCAGCCACACATCTATATATGGACCCTGATCTGGGTAGCCTAACATTGGGTGGAAGACCCTACGATGTACCTGCACGGCAGTGGAAATATCAGGTGTACCCACCAGGGGCCACCCAATCCCCAGGTTGGGCCATTCAATTTCACAAAATTTTCGCAATTTCTGCCTATCCCATTTACACCCATAATCCTGAGATTGGTAAGCCTCCTTAAAATGTTTCATCATAACCTCCAGAGGGGTTACCTCTTTAGTTTGTCTACCACCCATAATCCTCCCACATAAACAGACAAGAGAGAGAGAGGAGAGGAAATTGAAGAAGAGGGTAAGGGGTCCCACTTTCTTCAAACACAGCAGGGGATTTTTCACATAGACACCCACTCACACACGCCCGACCCAGGGAGCCGGATATTCACGGTCTCCGATGGGAACTGCGGACGCCACTCGCTTTCTACTGACCCACGGTGCTGGAGGCTCACAGTCACCAATGGGAACTGCAGTAGGCTCTCTCTCTTTTCCAATCAGACTTGACAAGTCCACCCACTTTATCTGTTAAGAGAGGGTGATCAGTCCTCTCCTCCGTCCCTGCTTACAGGGAGGGATTATATTTCCCATCCAATACTTGCCTGCAGGCGTCTTCTCCTTTTTTATTCCTCTTTCACTGCTGGCCAGCCCCAGTCCTGTTCTTCTCACCTCTCACCAGTGGTTCGTGGGTTCGTCAATCGCCGACAGCAGCAGTCAGCCGTCTGGGGAAGTCCCTCGGATTCAAAGGGTCCGATGGCGCCTGGGATATTCCCTCCAACTCACCGATCCACTGACTGTCGGGATGGACCACCCAGAGGGCCTCAGGGCCCCTCCAGTCCCATCTGGGTCGCCAGAAAATGTTGCAGCAATCTCGTTTTCAACACAGAACAAGAGACCACGAGAGGTGGAAGAATTCAGGTTTATTTGCGCAAAGCGTTCAGAGCATTAACATGACAAATTCTGAACCCCCATTACATGCTGGGGTCAGTTCTTTTATACCTTATGATGATTTCAGCCCAAGCCTGGGCGTTCATCTATGACCTATTTACCAAATATGGATTTTATGCTTACAAAATACATAAAAACATATTTTTCCTGGGAACAAAACATAATAAAGAGGATGTGGTAGAGAAGACAGGATGTCTGTAAGTATATGCTATTTTTACCATTATCTTACACTTACAAAAATGCTTCTTACAGACCTTCCCTTGATTGCAGCTTCCTTGTTCTCAACTTTAAATACATTGTTACTTCCTCTAAATAGATTTCCTAATTCTTCAGCGTAACACAGACAGAGTTGCTTTCTGTCCCTATGACCTATATATTAGATAGTTATAGTATACTCAGGAGCTAGCTAACTTATATAAAATATATTC